TTTTTGACATCAGTATAGAGGTTAAATTGGAGAAAGCCAGACTGGGTGTGAACAAAGGTTGGTTAATAAATCATTGCAATAGACCTGTGGAGAGGTGATGAGGACAGGGCAGCAGTGAGGATGAAGAGGGAGCTGAGGAGGAAAAGGGAAAGATATAATAGATGTTAAGGAGCCTAATATGATGGGTGAATGGTGGTGCCATTGTGTGAGGGACTGATGGGGATAATAATGATTTCCATTTCCATTTTTGAAATGTTGAGTTAGAGGTGCTTGCAAAATAAGCAAGTAGAGATGTCCAAAGGGGATTGGAATTTGGGTCTTGTGCTCAGTGAGAGCCTTTGGGCTAGAGATACATATTTGGTAGTCATCTGCATGCGTATAGTAATTGGACCACAGGAGTGGGTGGGATTACTCAGGGAAGGCAGGTGGAGAAACAAGAGAAGAGCCCAAGGACAACGCCCCAGCTGGGGTTCACAGATAAAGGTTGAGCAGGCAGCCAGCAGAAGAGATAGAGAAGGAAGAAGAGAAACAGTAACAGGTGGTATCTCAAAGAGCAGTGGAAGAGAATATTTCAGAATGAAGAAAGCAGCAGTGTCAGATGCTATTGAAGGATGAGGTACATGAGGTTGGAGAAGGTCCATTGGTTCGACAAATAGAGGACTCTGAGGGATTTCTGTGTCTTCAGTTCTCATGTATAAAGCTGGATCAATAGTGCCTTTCTTGGAGAGAGAAGAGCGTAAGGTTGGGAACAGATAGACAGAAGGATCTCTGTTCCAAAGCAGCCTGAGCCTGAATGCACCTCTATTACAGCACAGCTCGCACTGTTAGGATTGCGTACAGGTTGAGCCCACCCACAGGATTGTGAGCTGGACTGCATAGGCACACCCAGTCCCATGACTCAGAGGAGACTCACTAATAATTTCATTGTAAATTCTTTTAGACTTTTCCCTCTGCAAATAAACACATGTGTGTTTATATGTGTGCACAAAAGTAATTGAAAAAAATATTGGCTCATACTGTGGATGTTCTGAGAACCTGTTTTTTCCACTTAACTGAATAAATTAATCATCTTTCTATGTTATTACATGTTGAGCTATTCTAGTATTTAATAATTGCAAAATATTTATTGTTTGAGTGGACTATAATTTATTTAACAAAGTGAGCCTTTAATGATGAGCTTTTAGCTTTTTACTATCACAAACAGTACTGGAATAAATATTTTTGTGCACATATCTTCTTTGCACACCTTGGCACAAGGTGAGTGTAGGTTAAATTCCAGGGACTGGGTCTTTTCCATCTCTGTACCCTCAGCACCAGGCTTAAAGTAGGTACTTAGTAAAAGTATTAAAATGCCCTGAATTTAGGTCTTGAGGTCCTCCAGTGTCTTGTTCATCTTTGTATTTTTAGCATCTATAACAGTGACCAACAAAATTTTGCTTGCTAAATGAATAATCTCAAGAATATAGAGAACTCTGCTCAGAAAAGGAAAGTATTGAGTAGTGACCACTTTTAAGTGATGTGTGTATTAGAACACCTCGCTAAGCATTGCCAGCTAGGAAGCAACTGGAGACATTTACTCCTAGTGTTCTGCATATTTCTCTTCCTCTCCTTGTGAGGAGTGTTGATGTATTCCTTTCCCTGAGCAGTAGAATGGCTAGATGAAATTTCTAGGTAGATAATTGGTTAGAGTGAGAAGTTAAAGACTCTTGTCTTCCCTTCAGAGTTATATTTCTTTTTCACCTGCAGGATGCCTTTCACAGAATCTTTTTTTTTTTTAATGTATTTTATTGATTTTTTACAGAGAGGAAGAGAGAGGGATAGAGAGTTGGAAATATCGATGAGAGAGAAACATCAATCAGCTTCCTCCTTCACACTCCCCACTGGGGATGCGCCCGCAACCAAGGCACATGCCCCCAGCCGGAATCGAACCCGGGACCCCTCAGTCTGCAGGCCGACGCTCTGTCCACTGAGCCAAACCGGCTAGGGCCCTTCACAGAATCTTAAAAGCAAGAGCATATTCTTGTTCAGCCCTGCATGACTAGTGCCTAGCATACAGAGATGGGCCTTTAGCAAATGTGGAGGGTAAGGGAATCATTAAGTGTTAGGCTATACTAGTGGTCAGCAAACTGCAGCTCGTGAGCCACCTGCAGCTCTTTGGCCCCTTGAGTGTGGCTCTTCCACAAAATACCACGTGCGGACACGCACGTACAGTGCGATTCAAACTTCGTGGTCCATGTGTAGAAGTTGGTTTTCGGAAAGGAGATAGATGAAACAAGTATACAAGACGAGTGTGGATGGGAGAGTTGGAAGGGGTCGACCTCAGCGAACGTACCTCAATCAGATTGAGGACGTTTTTAGCAAAGGCCAGCTTAGGAGTACCCTAATTAAGTTAATAACAATGTACCTACCTATATAGTTTAAGTTTAAAAAATTTGGCTCTCAAAAGAAATTTCAGTGGTTGTACTGTTGATATTTGGCTCTGTTGACTAATGAGTTTGCCAACCACTGGGCTAGACAGTTGGCATAAGCTGATAAACTTTTCAAATGGTTTTGACTATTTCCCCAAATTTAAATCCGTTTTCTGCTTCCCTTTTTTCAATGATGGCTGTTTTTAGTATATATTGAATTCTTGTATATAATGAGGTCTATTTCTGTGCTTCATTTTTTTATCCATTAGGTTTATTTTCTGGTGCTAGTTCATATAATTTTAACTGTTATTGTTTATAATATGTCCTAATCTTCTCTCTATATATAAGGCTAATGTGCAGAGTGTCCCCTTGGGTGTTCGACCGGGAGACCAGGAGTTCAGTTGCTCACTATGATGTACACTGACCACCAGAGGGCGGTGTGGATGAAGGAAGGCCCTGGCCAACAGCTGGAAGGCCCCGATTGGCTCTGATCTCTGGGCAGGCCTAGGGACCCTACCTCTCCATGAATTTCGTGCACCAAGCCTCTAATATCTTATAAGGCTAAATGCTGATAATTCCTCTTTTCTAAAATATTTTAGACTTTTACCCATTTATATTTCTATAATAAGTCTATAAATATTGGTTGTCTTCTAATACAAACAGCCTATTGAGATTACATTACATTTACAAATTAGCTTCAGTATTGGCATTCTTTTACTAACTTTTCATCATATAATATGATAGTTTTCCCCTTGTTTTACATATTTTAGTAAAAATATGTTATTTTTCATGTGGGCCTATCTCTCCACAACACTTATCGAACCACTTTACTGATCCCTAGCTCCTGCCATGGTGCTGTTTGCTAGAGGTACAGAAATGAACAAATCACAGCTCTTAACCTCAAGGAGCTCTCTTTGGTGGACAAGAGAGATAACTGATCTAATGGCAACTAATTATAATAATTATTGTGATAAACAGAAGCCCAAGGTGCTAAGGAAGCACAGAGGAGGCCTACAACCAAGCCTGGGGGTGTTAAAGAAGACTTCCTAGAGAAGGGACTCCTGTACTGAGTCTTAAAGACAGAATGGAAGTTAACCAGATGAAGTGGGAAGAAAGAGTATTCCAGGCAGACAGAATGTTTATTGGAAAATATGTTCAAAAGCAGAGACTTTCAAAATATTGAAGTATTTTAGGAGCTACAAGTAGCTGGAGTATAGATGACAGTAGGATGGTAGCTGGAAATGAAGCTAGAAAGCAGGTGGGAGGGTGGCAGATGATTGAAGGGACTTGTGTGGCAGGATATGAATTTGGATATAGAATTGAAAGATTTAAGTAGAGCAGTGAAATGGTCAGGTTTATGTTTTAGAAAAAAATATCCCTAAAAAGAGAAAATAATAAAGTTAAATAAAGACCTCTCTGGCTTCCGTAGAAGATGGCATTAAGGGGTTCCAAACGTATTGCATTTGGTAGTTTGGACTCAAAAGACTCTTTTAATCTAAAGCAGTCTGTGACCTTATTCCCCTTTTTAAGAAATGCCATTTACTATTATAGAAACCAGGTCTGTTGTCCTGTAGAATGTGCCACATTCTGAATTTGTCTGTTTCCTCATATTATAACCTATTCCTCTGCCTCTCATATTTTCTATAAACTGGAAGTTAGCATTGAATGATTCATTGGATTCTGGTTCATCTTTTCTCTGGGAGGAGGGGCAAGAATACTTCATAGGTAGGGCTGTGAAGTGCTACCTGTGTCTGATGGTGCCACTCTCAAGGATGCTGATTGATCAGTGGTTCAGGTCATGACAGCTCATTCCTCTATTATAAATTTCCCCATCAACCTTCTATTGAATGAATTGATCTACTGATAATTAGCACCTGAGTGAATTATTTCATCATGGGCTACAATTATTTTTTTTAAATTCTGTCCATCTTTTCACATTTATTAGCTGAATAAAGAACATTTCCTCGCCCTAGCCAGTTTGACTCAGTGGATAAAATGTTGGCCCATGGACTGACCGAGGATTTGATTCTGGTCAAAGGCATGTACCTTGGTTGCAGGCTCAATCCCCACCCCAGTCGGGGCATATGCGGGAGGCAACTAATCAATGTGTCTCTCTCACATCGATGTTTCTCTCTCTCTGACTCTCCCCCTTCCTTGCACTCTCTCTAAAAAAATCAATGGAAAATATCCTTGGGTGAGGACTAACAACAACAACAAAGAACATTTCTTCAATAGCTAGAGCTATTTGGTTGTTCTGAAATATAATATGTACCAAGAAGATAAATGCTTACTTCATTTCTTTTATTGCAATTTTTGGATTAAGGTGTTGGCACCTTAGTTGTTCTGTTGTAAGTATCTTTTGGTCATGTTTCTATTTTATGACTTAATACATTGGCTAGTCCAGTGCTTCTCCCCCTAGTGATTATCCTGTAACCCCAGTCTTTGAGAAATGGTCTTCATTTGCACAAGAGCCTTAAAATCCTTAGGGATGTGAATGGCTTTCTAAGTGCCATACACACATCAGTCCATCTAGTCCTGTACTTTTCAGAAGACAGAACAGCCTTTCCTTTGATTTCTCTTCTCTTGCTCCAGGTCACACGGTGAATAAGATGCGTCAACACTCAGATTCAGAAGTGGCTTGTCTTGCCAAAGAAGTTTACACTGAGTGGAGAACTTTCATTGAGAAACATGCAGATAGACCTTCTATTGAAGTCCGAAGTGATTCCAAAACCGAGGCACTTAGGAAAAACGCCCAGAAATTACTCTCAGAAGCCTTGGAATTAGAGGTAATGTCTGGTTGGAATGTGATTATTAGGAGCTCTTGGTTAAATGAGCCTCACATTTTCAAAATGAACTTTCATAGTCTTAGTGCTGTGGCTTTATTCTGTTTTTCTCTTTAAGGGTTCTGGATATGTAATCATTCTGGGAGACAGTGTTGTAGAAAGGAACTAGCAAACCTGAATTAAAACCCTGGCTCTAGTATGTACTAGCTGTGGCATCTTAGGCAAATCCTTTAACATGAGGCTTGATTTTTTTTTAACTGTAAAATAATTATTGTTCCTACCACCTAAGGTTATTGGAAAGAGTAAATGGACTGTTTATACAAAAGAATAGTATAGTGCCTGGTGATTACAAGTCACTTAATGAATGTTGGTTCCTTCCATTTATTTTATTTATTTTTATAAATATATTTTTATTAATTTCAGAGAGAAAGGGAGAGGGAGAGAAAGATAAAAACATTTATGATGAGAGAGAATCATTGATCAGCTGCCTCCTGCACACCCTCCACTGGGGATCGAGCCCACACCCAGGCTTATGCCCTGACCAGGAATCGAACCTTTACCTCCTGGTTCATAGGTTGACACTCAACCATTGAGCCACATTGGCTGGGCTTTTTTCTTTTTTCTAATTCTAAGATTTCTTTTATGATTATGCATCTTATCTCCAACTTTATAAATTCTGAGCTTACCAGAGAACCTCCTAAACATTTACACTAGTGTCTCCTCATATAGGCTTCTCTCCCACCTATTTCAGTTTTTTAAAAAAACACACTCATAAAGCACTTATTTGAATCCGAAAGGGAGAGGGAGAGAAAGATAAAAACATTTATGATGAGAGAGAATCATTGATCAGCTGCCTCCTGCACACCCTCCACTGGGGATCGAGCCCACACCCAGGCTTATGCCCTGACCAGGAATCGAACCTTTACCTCCTGGTTCATAGGTTGACACTCAACCATTGAGCCACATTGACTGGCTCCTTCCATTTAAAATTTGTTCTCTTGCCACTCAAGCAAAAATTCTGGGATGGACTGTTGTGGCATATCAGTGGCAAAAGAAATAGCTGTCTATTGAAAAGATTCTACTCCCCCATTTTTTTTGTCCACACTCTAAAGCATATAATCAATTGGCCAGGCATAATTCCTATCATCTTCATAGCCAACAGTTCAGGTGACATTAGTGGCTTGAGGTACACATGCTAGAAGGATTTTTGCTCATTAACAATAATATTAATCACCATCATCAAACAAATCTTATATGTCAGTTTATACTCTGGAAAAATCAGACATATAACATTTATATATTTTCTTCTTTTTAGGGTATCCCTATCAAAGTTTCTTTAAGAATAATTTAATATTATTAACAAAGGAAGCAATTCAGAAGTCTGATTTAAATGCTAGATCTGTTACTATATTCTCTGAACAAAATTTTAACCTTTCTGTCTCAATTATGTATCCACAAAAGAAGGGCAAATGAACTCATGGTATATTATTTACTTTTTAAAATATAGTTTTGGATTTTTAAATACACATTTAGAAAATGTGAAAAACATAGAAAGGAAAAATAAGATCACCATTGAACTTACCACCCGGATATAATCTTGTTAGCATTTTGATGCATTTTCTGTTTGGTAAATTATTATAACTTTTTAAATGAATGCTATAATATGATTATCCCAGATTATTAAGAGCCATTTATATGCCAAATGTTCCATAAGATAGTTTTATTGATTATTTAAACAACATTGCAGAAAATTAACAATAATTTACATTTATGTTGTCTTTTTCATCTTGATCAATATCAGTTAGTGTCATTTTGTATATGCTTTTCTATATATGGTTATTTTTTCATTTTTATAATTTTCAGTGTTATTTGATAGCTCAGTAAATTGCTATGCTGTTAAGTTTGCTTTTCTTTTCCTAAAGGAAGCTTTAATATGAATATTAAGCCCTTGGAAGAGAGAACAAAATATGAAGGTTGTAAGTCTAAATAAATAACTTTCCAGAATATTGATTAGCCAACAAGACTTGCTATTTGATATTTTAAATAAAGTTTATTTTTTAAATAAACCAAAATTATTACAGAAACATATAGAGTGTGGATATATAATATGTAGTTAATGTGGTGTTAAATTCCAGTTCCCTGTGGTATGTTTTTAAGTAAATGATAATAACGAAGCAATGCTTGTAAGGATTAATGAGCAGTTTGCCTACTATATTAAACTCCATAATAATTATCCTTTTAGTTTATCCATTAATTATCCTTTAAATGGCACATCAAGTGGTAAGCACTCAAGTGTTACAAAGCTAAGTTAAAAAAGTGATATATTCGTTAGTGCTTTCCAACATAATTGGAAAAAATATCAGATTAAGCATAGTTGAGTGGTTTTGTTCCCAAAGAGTAAATTTTAAAAATTAAAAAGTATGCATCTTTCTTTCTTCCTTGGCCAAAAAAAAAAAAAAAAATCAATCTGTTTTTCTTGCATAAATAGTATTTGATAATAGTTTGATCAGTTTGATGTGTTGAAGAATTATAAACATTTTTGCATAAAAGTTAACTCTTAGCACCTATTATCATCTGAAACATTTCCATATTAGGGTAAATCAGTGACCCATCTAATCCAGTATCTGGTCTTTGACAGTAACCAATGTTGAGTGCATTCAAATCAGACATCCAATCTCCACAAATGTACTTTATCAGGCAGTAGTAAACCATTGGGTAAGTTACTGGCCCAGCGACTAAAAAGCCTTTACAATTTGATCCTAGCATGTGTTTTTACAGATCTACCCATTACATGTTTTTGTAGAAAATAAATGTTTTCATGTTATTTGTTTTTGTTATATTCTTTTGTAGTGAAAGCCACAGATGAGGAGTATACACACACAGCCAAATGTATCTCTTTATTACTGTATAGATCTTGCTTTCCAGATTCATAGATTGTTTCCTTGTTCTTGGAATAATGGAATAGATGAATAAAAACTCCATTGTTGAGACCCTGGCTCCATTCCCCTTTACTTTCTCCCTTCCGGATCTTCTTTGTTCTTCCCTACATTTTAGATCTTTCCTCATATGAACATCCCCTGTGGTGTCATTCTCTTACTTCCCCTTCCTCATTATCCACTCTCCTTCCTACCTCATGGCCTGTGATCATTTTCCTATTATGTCATTAAAAAAAATGAACCTGATTCTCAAAGTGAGCCTGTATCATTAAGAGTTATGAAACACTGGCTGGTTGGCCCAGTTGGTTGTCAGATGGTGCTAATGAGATCCAGGTCAGGGGTACGTCCCCATATGGGACTGCTAGTTTTTTCTTTGTTTAATGGCCTCAGACTGCACCTCTGGCTTTGACCAGCTCTTTCATAAATGTATTTAAGTGGTCAAAAAGGAGTGTGGTTAGATAGGTACAAATCCAATCATGCTCTGTGTGCTAAAACTCACACAAAGTTTGCTTCTAGTGGATATTCAATTCAGTAGATGTTTAGTACTACTACTGCTAGTGCCAGGGAGAATGCAAACATAAGTGAGTTGCATTCCCTGTCTTAAGAACGCTTACTGTCTCCTGGTGGAGAGCCTGTAAGTGACTAACTAATAGAAGGCAAGATAAAAAATATCTGAAATGGGTACAAGCAAATGGTGTAGACCAGTGGTCGGCAAACTGCGGCTCGGCAAACTGCAGCTCATGAGCCACATGCGGCTCTTTGGCCCCTTGAGTGTGCCTCTTCCACAATATACCAACTTCTGCGCATGGGCCACGAAGTTTCAATCGCACTATACGTGCGCGCCCGCACGTGGTATTTTGTGTTTTTTGTGGAAGAGCCACACTCAAGGGGCCAAAGAGCCGCATGTGGCTCGCGAGCCGCAGTTTGCTGACCATGGGTGTAGACACACAAAGGACAATATATGAAATCTGATAGGGGAATCTGGGAAGGTTTTATGGAAGAGATGGCAATTGAATTGGCCTTTGCAAGAGGGGTAGAATTTTGCTAACTTGAAAATACATATAAAATAGAAACATTATATTTCATATCTTATTTGCTATGTGTAGGATGTTATTGAAAGAGCAGGAAAGGAGGGAGGATATGTTGGGGGGTAGGGGAGAAGGACATTCATTTAACAAATATTTACTGAGCTCTTACCATGTGCTTGTACCTATGCTAGGCATGGAGAATTTAGAAATGGATCCAGCACAGTATCATCCCTAAAAGGGCTTACAGGCTTCTGTGAGAGATAGACAAATAAACAGTTACAGTACAACGTGGGAAGTTCTGCATTTAAGGTACACACATAAAAAAGACCTGTTCCCTTGCTTTTATTTTATTTTATTTTCTTTTATTTTTTTTTTTTCTGTTCCCTTGCTTTTATTTTATTTTATTTTCTTTTATTTTTTTTTTTTCTGTTCCCTTGCTTTTAAAGGGCTTACAGATGTGGCAGACATCACTAATTGATTATGGCACCATTTCCCACTGAGGCCAGAATCCTTGATGAAAGAGCTCTAGGTGGTCATGTTTTATTCTAGGTGATCATGTTTTATATCTTCTCTAAGCTATAACCAATTTGTCCAGGATTGGACAACTGAATAACTCACAGGTACAAATAGATAGGGAAGGTAAATCAGATTCTCTGTCTCTGAGACATGTGAACTAGGAAATGCTAAGAAAACAACAGTGGGAGTGTTGGAACAGATGTTGGAGGAGCTATGAGGAAGCAAGGGTAGAAATGTGTAGAATATGGGGAGCAGTGAGTAAGGCAAATGGAGAGGAGCAAAAACCTATGGGGAGGAGACCAGGAAGGTCATAAGATACAGAGAAGGAATATGGTCCCCAAATGAATCCCTAGGTTTCTTGCAGCGTTCCTATTCCCATTTCTACTGGTGCATCTCACAGCAAAACTCCCTCTTCTCAAGGTATCAGTGAGACTCTGGTCCTTTAGCTAAGTCCCAAAGGGCTTACCTAAATCACCAGGTTAGGACCCATTGGAAAGGACTCAACGATTTGGATTGGTTTGGATTATCCAAGGGCAGTTTTAAGTTCATTCACTTTGTGCAATTAACTTTTATACAAAAAGGTACATGATGAATTATTATCCTGTATAATTTACATTTTAATATCACTGATGTTTTTCTTCACTTCTTCATTCTGATTGGCCTTCATTTAATAAGAAGGCATGAATGAGAATTGTTACATGCTTGCTCCCTATTCCCATCGCATTGCTGGTAGAACACCTATTCCACTACCCAGCGGTTTCTGTGCATGTGCAGTCACCTTTCTAGACTGTGATTCCTGGATAGTAGGGGGCAGGTCTTTTCTGCTCAGTCTCCCTAATACCCAGATCAGGCCAGACTCAGAGTAGCAAATCAGTAACTATTTGCTAAATAAAGTATATATGAGTATCCAGTTATGCAAATTTCAAGGCACTGTCAGAGTTCTTTTTTAAATATATACTGTAATTCAGTGGAATGGCCATAACCTGTTTTGCAAAAGTATATATACCCTTTCCCCCCAAACAACCATTCCCCTAAAAAACACCCACCTTTTTCTTAACTGTTTAAGTGAATCTCTAAACAGTGACTAACCATCCTCACACTGGATTGACGAGCCTCTCTGGCAAATGTTGCTGGACAAATGCTGGCCAGACAACCGGCCACCCTTTCAACCTCCTGAAGTAACCTGCTTCCAGGGCTGCCTCAGGCCAGGGTTCGCTGCCCACTCAGGAGGCCATGAAGAGCTCGAGATGTCTGGGTTCTGGAGAGCCACAGAGCCAAACCACATCCACTCACCCTAGCACAAGCCAGATCAGTCATCAGGACCACAGATTTCCTGGAAGGCCTTGTCTGCTATACCTGGGCAGATGTCTGGGCCTACATATTCATTCTCTGTCCCTCTTTTTCTCTCTCAGTCCTGTTCTTCCTGCCGTCCTTATTTCTTCCAAGTTTCATTTTTCTGTTTGTGTCAGCCTGTCTGTCCCTTATATTAGGGTGTTTTGTTTTGTTTTTTTATCAAGTATTAGGTGACTCTTTTCTATTTTTGGTACACTTTTTTCTTTTTTAAAAAAAATATATTTTATTGATTTTTTACAGAGAAGAAGGGAGAGAGATAGTTAGAAACATTGATGAGAGAGAAGCATCGATCAGCTGCCTCCTGCACACCTCCTACTGGGGATGTGCCCGCAACCCAGGTACATGCCGGAATCGAACCTGGGACCTTTCAGTCTGCAGGCCGACGCTCTATCCACCGAGCCAAACCGGCTAGGGCTACACTTTTTTCTTAAACTTTTCTTTTTAAATAGTGTATAGCCCTGGCCAGTGTGGCTTGATTGGAGTGTTGTCCCAGACACCAAAAGGTCATGGGTTTGATTCCTGGGCACATACCCAGGTTGCAAGTTTGCTCCTCAGTCAGAGTGCATATAAGAGGCAACTGACTGATGTTGCTCTTTCATCAATCTCTCTCTCTCTCTCTCTCTCTCTCTCTCTCTCTCTCTCTCTCTCTCTCTGTGTGTGTGTGTGTGTGTGTCTGTGTGTCTGTGTGTCTGTGTCTATCACTGTCTTCCTCTTCCCTTCCTTCCTTTAGTTCTGTCTAGAAATCAATGGGAAAAATATCCTTGGGTGAGGATTAACCATAAAATACAAGAAAAAAAAACAGTAACTGCAGTAAGAAGACTTGAGTGTTGCAGGTCACTGCAGGGTATCTGGACTTCATGCTGAGGGCAGTAGGGAGCCACAAAAGGCTTTAGAGCAGGGTACTTCCATGTTCAGGATTCTGAATGAATCACTGGATTAAACTGAAAGTGGGGGAGGTTGGAGGCAGGAGAGAATAACAGTGGTCAAGGAGAGGGAGCAAATGGCATTAAGTGGGTGTAACATCATCCCCGACAAGAGCTAGGATTGCTTTCTTGTATTTTGTTTTTTAGCTAAGTTTTGACATACAAATAAGAATGTATTTCCTAGGGAAAATGTACCTTGCTGAGGGAACAAGTATCTGTAGCAGACAGAGGTGTGTGAAAGCAGCTTAGTAGGCTCATGCGGGGCGATGCTTAGGACTGGGGAGGGGATGGGCCTGGAAAGGAAGGTGGGGCCTAGGGGCCCCCTGACCAGCAGCCCAACCTGGCCTGGATCCAGACCGCGTGGTCCAAGTCCCATACCTGTCCTACTTTGATTATGTCTGCGACCTTAGGAGGACTTGGGCCTGAGCCAAACCACCCTGGAATTGCTACAGGTCCCAACCCCTAAGTCTGCTGTGCTTAGCTGACCCTGCAAGCATCTCCTCAAACTCTGCTGGTTACTCAGAATGCTGAGGGGACAGTCAGTGCAGTGAAAGGGCAGAAATACGAACTTGGAGTCGGGGCTCCAGGTCAGAGTCCCAGCTCTGCCTCTTAGTAGTTGTAAGAACTTGAACCTTTCTTTACCTTTGAACCCATTTCCTCATCTGCAAAATGAGATAATAGGAGTTGTGAGCATTCAATGTGAAAAGTGATCTACACACATATTAAGATCCAGATCCAGTGTTTCTGAGATGCAGTAAGGGGTTAAAAAGCACTCTTAAAACAAACCCCCCAAAAAGTATAAACTGTTACACTGATTTATTATCCTTGGTCTTTGTTTCCTGGTTGGTAAAGTACAGGCCCAGTACCCTTCGCTTAGTTCAGGCCAGTTTCCTGTTATAATGGCAAATATTACCACCCGGCAGGGGTTGTGAATGAGGTCCCTGTCACAAAGCACATGGCCTTGTTCCTTAATTGCCAGGGTGGAATTAATTTGCTCTTCCTGTTTCTCTTGTGACAGGAAGTAGATGTCCTTGAATTTCAGTTGATTAATGGAAGCCTCTGAGCAGAGTGCTTCAGCCTCTCTTGTTTTTAATTCTTATGTGTTGCAAGGCCCTAATTTGATAATTTTGCTGTTTTTTAGATGGATCACCTACTGGTTGAAAATATTGAGCGGGAAACGTTTCATCTCTGCTCCCGCCTCATTAATGGGCCCTACCGGCGGACGGTGAGAGCCCTGGTCTTCACATTAAAGCACCAAGCTGAAATCCGGGCTCAGGTGAAGAACGGCTCGCTGCCAGTCGGCACGTTTGTACAGACCCACAAAAAATGACCTGAGGACGGTTCTAACCCTGGGCTGGGCAGAAAAGAAAATGTGTCCCTTTCTGCCATTCAAAGACTCTTTTGAGTTTGGGTGATGGCTGATGCTGGCTGCGCTAAATTTTCCCATGGTGCCATTCCTTCAGACAGAGGCTGCAGGGAGCCCTGGGAGACAGGCTGCAGGAAATGCTTCATTAGCTGTAGTGCGCTGGTGCAGCCTAACAGGACGTGCACAGGCTGTCCCTAGGAAGCGCTGTGTGGTTGCCATCACCCAACACAGCAAAGGGTGACGGATTTTGGATTTCGCTGTGAGTATGCCAAGGACACCGCTAAACTTCCCCCACGTCAGGCAGATGAAGTTACTACTTTATTTCGCCACCCTGCAGGTAACTGAAACTCAATTACTGCTGCCGCTCACACAGTTCCATCCCCCTGAGTTTAGATGGCTCTGGTGCCTGTCAGAACTCCCCTTTCTGTTCTCTTTGCTCTACCCCAGGGGTGAGCCTGCCCGAGCCAGCCAACTACCCCTTCTTTCCAGAGCTCACTTATCTGAATGCGGCAGCTCCCCCTGGAAGACCTTCCGTGTTGGTCTCCGGAGCCCCCATGCTGAGGCTCCTAATGAAGAACTGGCCTGCAGCATCCCCACACTCGGGCTTATTTGAATATGTGACACTCTCATCTTAAGGTTCTGTAGAAGATACATAATGAAATTCCTCTTGAAATGAATTACTGTAGTGAAAAAATTCCATACATATATTTTTAAAATAAAATACCTCTACATAGGCCTATTGGAACAATTATGTAAATGTATTTGCTTTTTTATAAGTAATAATAAACTGGGACTTTCCCCCCGCCTAAAACAAAAGATATGGCTTGTTCATTGAAAAGTATTTTGGGTTGAGAAAAAGTATAGTTGGTGAAGATGAAAAATTATTGCAAAGAATTTAGAGAGATGGTAAGACCCAAGAAAGGTTTTTTGAGGTTAAGGGAGACTGGAGCATGTATGTAATCTGAAAAGAAGGAGCTAATAAAAAAGGACAGATTTAAAATACAAAAAAATTGGGGATGGGTTAAAAAGCAAGGACAGAAAGGAAGAGATTAACATTGCCTTTAATCCTTTCATCTGTTGTGTTAGTAGATATTGTTTCAGTTTTTTTATATTTCTTCATTTATTCAGCAATCATTTATTGAGCACCCATTCCACAGAGTACTGTGGATACCTAGTAGGAACTGCAGATGAGACCCTGAGGCTCACCAAGCAAAGGTATCTTGTTCCATTTCCCACTGCTAGGAGGTACTGGAGCTGGAATCATAATTCAGCACCCACCAGGCGCTCAGCACTGTGATAGACATTTTAATAATAATATCCAATTAAAGATCAGAAAAGTGAGCCCCAGAATGGCTTACTCAAGGTCACACAGAGAGTGAAAGGCAGAGCTAAGGTTCAAAACCCAGGTCTGTTTGACTGGATCCAGTCTCCCAGGTTCATTTCATTCACTCCCTTATGGTTATATGCAGTTGACACTCCAATCTGTATCTTCAGACGATACATGGTCCCTCAGTTTCAGATGATATCTCCAAGATGTCTCGGGGGCTTCACAGCTATCACATGTCTTTTCTCACTTGGCAATCCTGGTAGCCCAGGCATTCTTGCTAGAAGCGAGAGTCCTTACCCAACCAGGTCCTAATGGTTTTATTCATCACATATATTTAGAATCTCTTGCCTCTTCTCCATCTCTAGTACCACTTTAGGGCTTCATCCTCTGTTGCCCACATGGCTCCATGGCTTCCTAGCTGGTTCCTTTTCACCCAGTCTGAACCTCTTCAAATTGATCTCCCTGTGCTAGGAACAAAGTGGCATATCAGAACTGGAAATCTCACCATGCCACTCCCATCAGAGCATTCACATGCTATTTTCTTCTCTAAAATGCTAGTCTCTACCTAATTCCCTATGCTTCCCCTACCATAACATCCTGTGTATTGTTCTATTCATATCCACATGTTCTGTGGTTGTGCTTTCGATTCTCTCTCCCCACTAAAGGTAACAAACTCATGGACACGACAATATGGTGGTTACCAAAGATAAAGGGAGGGGAGGGGGAAGAGAAAGAAGATAAAGGGGTCAGATGCATGGTGATGGGAGCAGACTAGATGTTGGGAGGTAAGCACACAATGCAGTATACAGATCATGTATTATAGAATTGTACACCCACAACTTATATAATGTTAGTAACCAATGTTACCCCAATAAATTTCATTGAACTTAAGCTTCATGAAAGCAGAGTCTTTGTTTTGTTCCCTGTTGTATTTCCACCACCTAGAGCACAGCCTGGCACAAACTAGGTCTCCATAACTATTGAAAAGTTGAATGACTACTTGTGGGTGTACAGGAAAGGCATCTAACCAATCAGGTAAATACTTCCTGGAAGAAGTGATACTTGTGTGCAGTTTTAAAGGGCAGAAGTAGTTAATTGGGTGGTTGAGGCTTATGCCTGACGGAGAAAGCAAAGTATGGAAAGACTCAGACCTGTGAAATATCTGGAAGGTGATTGGTGTGGCTGGAGTAGAGGAAAGTAGGGTGAAGAATAGATGGAAATGAGGCTGGAGAGGAAGGCAAGGACCAGGACCAAATGTGAAGGGCCCTGAACAACAGGTGAAGGCGTGTGGACTGATGCTAAGCAGGAACTGGTTAATTTTTGTTAACAGGCTGTGGAAGAAGCAGCTGGAGCCAGGGAGAGAGACTGGGAGGCGGAAGCTTCATTTAAAAGCAACCAGAAAGTTCTGCTAACTTAAGGACCCAGAGTAAGTTGAAAACAAATTGCTCTGCGGCCGAAAGGTTTCAGTGGTGAGAGTTAGAAAGTAAAATGATTGCAGAGATGGGCTTTGGAGACTTGGAAAGTAGACCGTGTTATTTGTGGCTGTTTTCTCCTTGATGCATACGCAGGATTTCCATGAACACTAACAGAGCTGTTCGGAGTGCTTGCTGAAGGAAAGGAGGCTTGCAGATATCCATCCAAGCTGACCCACCCACTAAGAAGCACTTCTGAGCTCCAGCCTGTGAAAAAGGCAAGGTTCAGCTCCTGCAATGGGGTGAAAAAGTCCCTAGGACCTCTGAATTCCTAGGTGTAAATCTGGACATGAATATGTCTCCTAAATGTGTGTGGTTGCTAGAGGAAGTTTGGGAAATTACTGTTAGAGTCCGCTTCTGCAGCTTATTGATCCTTTTCTTCTGGTGGTTAAATCGGGGGTCCTGGTCCTTTGGGTAGGGACTGAGTCTCCATTTTCATTCATCCATTCATTCAACTAACTAATGTTGCCTATCTTATGTGAGCCAAGGTCTAGACTGGCACTGGAGAAACGGCAATAGATCTCATTTCTACCCTTGAGGAGCCCTTAGTCTAGTGAGGAGACAGACACATAAGTAAATAAGTACGGTACAGCATACTAGGTGTTTATTGTAGATATTGATTTAAAATGTTGAGAAAGTGGAGAAAGGAGTGATTAATACCATTCTAAGAAAAGATAAAGTCTTCACAGAGAGTTAATGTTTGAACCAAGTCTTGAAGGATAGATAGTTCTTAGCAGAGGGATCAGAATGTGTACAAAAGCCCAGAGGTGTAAAGTGTACGCCTTCTGTCACTAAAGGCAAATGCTATGGAGTGGTGGAGGCAGAGTTCTTAGACACGGTGGAGAGAAATGGGGCAAAAACAATTAGCCAGGGCCTTAGAGGCCTCGTGAAGAAGTTTGGACTTTGGCCTTCAGATAATGGAAGGCTCTGGGAAGTTTTCGAGGAGGTGAGGGAACTAATAAAATGTGCATTTGGAAAGATAAAAATGTTCTTACATAAACAGATACTTTAGAAAAATTTTCAAAATTTAAAACTCCAACAATTTATGGCAAAGGAACAATTTATGGCAAAGGAAAGAGACACTCAAGATTGTGTAAATTAGATAATTTTTTTTTCTTGACAAGTGAAGTTTAGAGTTGACCAAACAGATATCATTAGAGAGTCCCAGGTTTGAAAAATGGCAGGAAGCTCAGATAATGCATTTACTGTGTTCAGTGGTGAAGGAACAGGCAGCTGGCCTTTTCTCATTTAAGGAATATCAGGTTCTTACACTTGTGCCTGTCAACCTTGGTTTTCTTTTGCTGCAGCCTCAGGCCTCAGAGTCTCATTCTGAGATTTGTAATGTGTTTTGGACGTGTTTATCACAGCCATATGGGACGAAGGCTCAGTTTGTTACTGCCCATTATTGCTATCAAAGGGAGTCCATCCAGAAAACAAGGCTTTGGGAGCGTTTATTAGTTCAGTGACACTGCTTCGATTTCAAAAGAGCAATGGTTTGATTGGATGACATTGTATTTTCTTTTAAATCAACCAAAATGATATAATTGCTGTCAGGGATAGGCTTACCCATAAGCTAAGGAGGTTAGTTTCAAGATTCAAGAAGATCAGGTTGTCCAATCAAATGCTGCTTTTTCTTGTTAAAATCACTCATTCAGTGTATATTTGAGTTCTTATAGGCCAGATTCAAGGGTCACAGGAACAAATAAGGCACAGTCTCTGGCCCCACGAAGTTCACAGTCTACTGAAGGTGAGTGCCAAGGTCTACTCTAGAGCAGTGATGGCGAACCTTTTGAGCTCGGTGTGTCAGCATTTTGAAAAACCCTAACTTACCTCTGGTGCCGTGTCACATATAGAAATTTTTTTGATATTTGCAACCATAGTAAAACAAAGACTTATATTTTTGATACTTATTTTATATATTTAAATGCCATTTAACAAAGAAAAATCAACAAAAAAAATGAGTTCGCGTGTCACCTCTGACACGTGTGTCATAGGTTTGCCATCACTGGTCTAGATAAATGATTTAAAAAGGCCAACGATATGAATTATGGAGTTGGAAGCAAAGGAAATAAGCCAATAAAGATGTTAGAAGATGCCCAACCTCATTAGTAATCAGGGAACGGCAACGATAAATGTCATCCTTAAAGATCTAAAGGATGCAGCGATAGTGATCACCATTATGACTCTTTAATTCACTGCTCTGGGCCCTACAAAAATAGAAGGATCCTGGAAGATGGCGGTGAATTACAGCAAAATTAACCAAGTGGTAGTTCTAATTGCAGCCACTGTTGTGGCCTCTTTCTTGGAGCACATTAACGTGTTCTCAGGTACGTGGTATGTAGCCATTGATCTGGTCAATGTTTGTTTTTTCCTTCCCTATCAAAAAGGAAAGTCAGACTTCATATTTGCTTGGAACAGACAAAAATATACAATTACAGTCTTGTCCCAGGGCTGTTAGCTCTCCCACCCCTCACAGCCTCGTCTGAAAAGACCTGCACCACCTAGACATGTTGCAGAGCATCATATTGATCCACTACATTGAAGACATCAGCTAATGGGGCCAGATGAGCAAGAAACGGGTATATTGGAAGCCTCAGTGAGTCACATGAATTGCAGAGAGTGCAAGCACACACCAAAGATGCAGGGGCCTCACATATCAGTGAAGTTTCTAGGGGCCAGTGGTCTGGGATATGTCAGGGACATTCCCTCCAAAGTAAAAGACAAATTATTGCATCTCCCACGCCCCCATTAAGAAGGAATGCTTGGTAGGCCCCTTTGGGTTTGGAGGCAGCATATTCACACCTGGGAATACTGCTCCATCCCATATCGTGGATGACAAAGCTGCCAGTTTTGCTGGGCGCCCAGATCAGGAAAGGACTCAGCAGCAGGGCCAGACTGTAGTACAAGTAACCATGCTGTGTGATCTGGCAGAATCCATGGTATTGAGGTATCTGTGGTGGGAAATGATGCCTGTGGAGATAATGACAAGGCCTAGGAGGAGGATCACTATGTAGACC